GGATGATGCGCGAGCAGTCTAGAATGTTGGGATACAAAAGGTCAGAGGGGATGGTGACGTCTCTGGTGACGTGAGATTGCCGCCTTGTTAGTATGTTGCATCCAGCTACGAAATGATCTCCCCTTAGGATACGCACAATTTACATGTGCATTGAAGCGTTGCATCTGGTTCTGGGCTCTTGTTCATCGAGGATCTGGATAATTGGAGCCCTTGAATAGACTGCAGAAAGGAGCAGCGTCTTAAAATGAGCTGAGGGAGCTTTTGATTTTGTTCAAAAGGCGCACACGCACTGTCACCGTTGACTGAGCCGGTTCGTCATTGCAGGATCAGGCTGGCCATTGCTGATTTATCAAACAACAGTAGCTCATGTAGGTCAGCTGGAGGTAATTTGCCTGATCGCGCCCTCTTTACAAGCATTCTTTCCCTAAACTTGAGTCGACAGATCTGTGAGCAACAGGGGTACAGGGTCAAATCAAATCAATGACTGTCACTCAGAGTGAACGTCAGAATGGGAATGCAACTTGATGAAGAACGAGTTGGTAGGAAACAGCAGTTACTGCAACAGAGGCAATTAGAAGCGCTTCAAGGGCTGGACTCAAATAGATCTACGCCAAAGCGCAACGTTCTGTCATTCAAGCAACATCACATAAGGGAGACGATGGATTGGCAGAAGAGAAGAGATCCAGACGGTGAGCAGAGCTTTCGAAAACCATGCATTTCGGATCATTTCTTGCTCTATTACGAGGCCAGCATTGTCTCAAATTCTGAATGTTACATGCACCTTCTTGTCCTTCCCTTGAGACAGTTCATTGACAAGTTTGCAGGTGTCAAACCTTGTGCTGCACGGCTCCTATGAACATATGAGCTTTTGCCACCTTGATCCTGGCATTGTTTCTGCTTTATATGTCCCTCCTCTTAGGCTGTTTGCCAGCACCGTCCAATGCTGGCAGCAGGCCGTTTGAGTTCTGGATATTTATGGCTATATGCCCAGCACATGTCAAAATTTCGCCCCCAAAATCAAGCATCAACCCTTGACAGTCAGATCTGACACACGGACCCAATTCGGGCCGTGATTACGGTTCTGCTGGGGGGGAACAACCAGTCTGGAGATTCCTTGTGAGACATGAGTTTCATTGTTTCCAGCATTAGAAATTGTCAGTCAAGAGAGTTTCAAATCAAATTTGACGCATTGGAAAGTGTCGCCCTGGGGTTTACTGAATATTGCTATCCTAGGAGAGGTCCTGTCTTCCTTCAAAAATGACGTATTTCACCGCAGTCCTTATCTGTTGCTAGTGGTAGGAATCAAACCTGTTGATCTGATTGATCTTCAGGACTTCACCTGTTATTTGTTTAAGGTGACTGCAACATTTACTATTTTGCCATCATATCTATCTTAAAGATACTTACCGAGCAGTCAACGTCATTCATCTGGTCTTTAAGCTCTTAGTGTGCTTGATCAGTATAATGCAATGAAGTATCTCCAATGACCGTCTTCGTCTTTGTTTGCACTCACAGTCCCAGATCCTCAAAGACTTGAGAATGCATGTTGCACAAGGAGCTACTTTTTTGAGAAGGGTTTCCTTCTTCGGTACAGCTGGAAGGACTGGGCACGTGTTACGCAATGCTGCAGTTGGGTTCCCGGTCAGGGAGTAGGTCTTGAAGGCCAAGTCCTTATTTACCTGGGTAGAAGTTCTGAATGAACAGGTTGTGTAAGGGTGGGGTTGGCGCGAGGAACTCTTGGTTCCATCTAATTGCCCACTCTAAAAAGACAGCCAGTAAAATTTTATCAACTGATGTCTTGGGTCTGCTTGTTGGGTAGCTCGGCAGTTGATATGCAAGTTCCAAGTTCCTAGGATCCAGCCTACATGACTTTGTGCATCAACTCTGAAAATCAATCAAAGTGAGGATCTGAGGTTTGGCTCTTCCTTCTTTTGCAGAGGCCGCTTGGCATCTCTCTCAGATGAACTTACAAAGCAATGAGAGCGAGGTAGTTGGAGGCCCCTACCCGGAACGTCCTGGCGAGCCAAACTGTGTATACTATCTACGCACTGGGCAGTGCGGATATGGGCTCAGCTGCCGGTTCAACCATCCGCCGGACAGGAATCAGGTGAGCTTTCATTGTGATCAAGGTATACTTTAAAAACATATTTCTGGTGCTTTGATCAGCCGGATCTTTGCTTGCCCCCGGATTAAAGGTGCTTTCTGTGCTTGGGCAGCATACCATCCTATGGATCGCAGCGTTATCCTCTAGACATGCAATGACATCATTTCAACTGCTAAGTAAGCCTCTCTGATACATCTTGAAGGATGTACGACCCAAGCCTAGCAGTGCTGCAGCTGGAGAACCTGCTTTCGTGACACGGCTCTATATCTTGTGGGGCTGATGATCTATTTTTTGAGACCAATCGCTTGTATGTTTGCTGGACCTGATTCTATCGTATGCCTGCAGGGAAGTTCTCGGGGCGGGCAAGAGTTTCCCGAGAGGCCCGGGCAGGAGGACTGCGGTTACTACCTTAAGACGGGGCAATGCAAGTTTGGTCCAACATGCCGGTACAATCATCCCAAGGATCGGGCCGGTTCGCAGGGCAAAGTGCAACTGAGCCCATTTGGGCTACCTTTGAGGCCGGTAAGTTGCTGTTGCAACAGCCAACTTCTTCAGTGTCCAACTGAACCCTCTCACACGCAAAGGGTCTGGTTATGCTAAACTCTACGGCTCCTAAAGGGTCTTGATCACAGCAACCATGGGTACTCATTTGATGAAGCAAGTGCACACAATTGCATCCCAGGTGCACAGCACTTGTGGACGGTCTGACCGCTCATTTCAAAGGCTCGTGCCAGCTCTTCGGATAGTGCAGTGTTGGGATTGAAGTGCAGTCTGCAGTTGATCACTGCCTTCAAGTGCTCTTGCTTGATGTCTGAAGGCAGGTCGACTTCAGCAGTCCTTTGGTTGCATAGCAGCCTTGAATGGCATCTTCATTCCTGGCGCTCCATGTTAGAATTCTCAGGCAAGGGCTGAACCGAAGGCAAACCGCCCCACTATTATTCATCTGTGGAGGGTCCTATCACTTGACTATGCTTTCACCCCAGCCTTGATTGTGGGCCCCCCTATTATGCTGACGCATCCGTGTCCATGTGCTTTCCAGGAAGAGAAGGAGTGCGCGTACTATTTGCGAACGGGCACCTGCAAGTACGGCGTCACCTGCAAGTACCACCACCCCGTCCTGCCCAACTTCCCCGATCCGGCCAACCTCGGCTTCCCCTCCCTTGGCATGCTTGCCTCCGACTCCCAGACAGGCCAGACCCAGTCCTTCCCCCAGCTCCCGCACTCGGGCGCCCCGGCAGGTACGACATGCCTGGCGGTTCCTACCACTGAAGAAGGCAATCAAAACCCGACTGTTTGCATGTTGAATGTGTCTGCAAGGCGACCTGTCTTTGATCGTCTTGCTGTGGCACATGGCAAGGCCCTTCAGGCATCAGGCCAAATCGGTCGGACTGTTAAGACACGAAGTAAGGTTCCCAAGGCGACACTCGAAGAGCAGCCAAGAACTGCACCGACTTATCTGCTTAATTGAATCACTCCCTGTTTACGGCCTGATTACATGTATACTGTGGTGAGACGAGTGCAGATCAAATCAACTGGATCCAATGACCAGTCTGCTAGACAGAACCTAATCAACAGGGCATCAGGCAAGCGCCCCTGCTCAATCTCAGATCTTCCTGTCGCCTCCGTCCAGGTGTGCCTCAGATGCCATGGAACCCGCGCGCCTTTCCGCTCCCAGGGGGCTTTCCACAGATGCGGCTGATGGGCCCGAGCCCCCCACTCTTGCCGCTCGGCCAGGGCGTGTTCAACCCCTACTCCACAGTGAGATGCTCATTAGTCACAGGGGCGGTCCGAGGGGTGCCATCATTGCACAGACACCAGCACATAATGACGCAGTACAGTCGCTGTGCTCCTTTCAGCGATGCAATTCCATTTGGGTTGTCCACTCGTGCGATGGTGAATCGTCGAGTCCTCCTTCTGTCAGCTTCGCCAGATTCAGGAATTCCGTTTCTGTCCTCCTGGTTTACTCAAAAGCAACCGGCAATCACCAGGCAGTGATCTCAGCATTGCAGGACAATAGTCTTAGTGTTCACAGCTTCTAGCCCTGCCTCTTAAGTACCCAGCCTTTCGGCTCTGCACAGCTCTTCGAGGGAAGGCTCGCGTCTGACTGGCTCCTGTGTTGCGGCGCAGCAAATTCCGCGGCCCATGGAGGGCCTGCAGCAGCCGACGCTGCCGTTCCTGTTCAACCCGCAGCAAGGCGGCCAGAGCGACCAGAGCATCCAGCCGCTCGCGCCACCAGAGGGCTTCCCCCAGTTCATGCAAGGGGGCGGCTTCGGGCAGCATGCGGAGAGGAAGGACGTGCACTACCCGGAACGGCCGGGCCAGCCCGAGTGCCAGGTGCGGCAGCGGGCGTGTGCCCAGGATAGAAACTTGCTACTGCGCCTGGTGACAGAACAAGTGGCCCTGGCTCGCGAATGTCCACGAAGGTCCTTGCTGTTCATCTTGGATTGAACGCAAGCCTTTCCACTGCCCGTGTTTCTGTATCTCATAAGTTTCCGGATACCTTCAATACATCAACAGATTTCAAGACTTGAGCTTCTCCTAAAAGCTTTCCCCTGACCGCCTTCTCTCCCCTCGGCAGTACTACATGAAGACGGGCGAGTGCAAGTTCGGCGCCTCCTGCCGGTTCCACCATCCCAAGGACCGCTCGGCGCCGTCGCCCACCTGTGTCCTCAGCCCGATGGGTCTGCCTCTCAGGCCGGTGAGCCCCCCCGGCTGCACCCAAGTCCGCTCGCTGAACGCTCTGAAAGTCTCGAGAGTCGTTGTCAGTCGCTTTATTATTCTTGTCATTATAACTTTCTTACAAGCATCCCGATCCACTGGTCGCTTGTCACACCTGCTGTCGGGCTTTCCGGTGGACTTCTCTCTCAGACTTCAACCCGCGTCGACTTGACTGCCCCCGCCTGACTTTGCAGGGAGCGCCCGCCTGTGCGTTTTACACCCGGTACGGCATCTGCAAGTTTGGGCACACGTGCAAGTTCGACCACCCGGTGAACGACCACCTCAGCTACAGCCCCTCCGCCTCCTCGCTCTCGGACATGCCCGTCGCGCCGTACCCTGTCACCTTGTCACGGACGCGAGGTGATGCCCCGGCCTGCAACCTCTTTGTTTCTTGGCGTACAAGCCTGACGTTTCTGCCGGCTCCCTTTAGAGTGCCAGAGGATCAAAAGCTGCGATATTCCCTTGCACAGCTTCCTCGGGCGGCCAATCATTGATCGCAGACGTCCTCGTTCGCCGTGCTCACAGCTGGGCTGTTCAGTCGAAATGAAACTTGTGTTTCCATGTGCAGCTGCTCCGTTGACGTTGGAAGCCCGGCAACCCCGAGTCGATGAGGAGTCCGCCACCATTGGGGGCCCAGCGGACGAAGCTGGTGGAAGCGGTGGGGCAGCAGAGGACGAGTCGGATCCGCCGCTGAACTGAGCCCCCAGGGCGGAGCGCCCTACCCCGGGGGGGAACGGGCGTGGGTTTAACGTGGGCGTCAAGAAGGTGGGGGATCAGGGGGATGTGATCACACGGGGCCGATCGGTGGAGGAAGGGGACTGAGGTTGAGGGAGGGTAAAAGAACAGGGCACGAGCGAAGAGCCTGGGAAGGCGGCGGGCAAGGAAAAGCAGCGCGGTAAGAGCGTGGCGGCTGGGGGGAATTCAGCTGTAGATATTTTAGGCCGTCTGGAAGTGGTGGGACTCCAAGCCAAGTCAAGAGCTGGGGGCACCGGAACAAGAGGTCCTCACAGTATGGTTCCCTGATCGAGATCATGCGCTGAGCAGCCTTGCGTGCACGAAGCGAAGCGGGGTCGATAGCAGAGGCGCAGCCCAGATATCGACCCCCGATACGGACGCTTGCCATACGCCAAGATTGCTGGGGTCTGCGCGGGCGGCACCCTCAGCCTGGGGTTGAGCAAGGGGGCAAAAGCAATAAGCTGTCCGTAAGCTAGTGCTAACGCTTGTCGTTGAGCTATTGGAACAAGGTGGATCGGGCTGCGGCCACCATGACGTGTACCTGAGTCGTTGATAACGAGTTTAGCTCACCAGACGTTGCCTTGATTTGGGGCACATTGGTCAAAATTGCAGGCTCTTGAAGATACTGGAGGTTAATTGTCAGGTTCAAGTCGACTGATTTCAAATTGTCTTACTTAGCTAGGCCCACAAGAACCGCCACCTGCATCTGCCGGTTGCCAATGTATATATCAAAAATGGGAACCTGTGCACGCATGCTCACCCGAGCGCCTTTTTGTCACAGCCCGTGAAGCTCGTGCACTTCCAATTTTCCGATATGCATCAAAACACTGTTATTGCAGCCAGAAAAAAGTCCACAAACAGGCTTGCTTTAATAAAAATTGTCAATCCTAAGTGTTGACATATCCAATCCAATGTGACATGTTGGAACTCTGACCGGTCGATCATGCAGGCCGCATGTGCGTGCTGTCACGCGCTTGTGCTGCACATGAGGCGTCGCTTCATCAGTATAGCAACAGCTTTGTCAATCAAATTATATGGTCCATATATTCATGGTCGAGTTGGTGAATTTGCATGGTCCGATGGTCAGGCCCATCTGTTTGACGGTTGGGTGCATGGGATCATGCGCGCGCAGACAAATTGGTCATGACGATTATATCTTATACAAAGGCCGCAGAGCTAGCTGGAAGCATTCTCATGCCAATAGCGGTCCGCAAGATACTAGCACATGTGCTGCATGACAAGACTGACTCTAGCTATATCATTCTGAAGAAGAAGTCAGTAATCTCAGCTATAAAAGTTCCATCTAGTCCGTCATTACGAAATAGCGACCTGCTGGCATGAGTAGGTTAAAGGGCATGGTGCACTATGACAATCATGAAATTTCCACATATGTGTGACGACAAGAAGCAGAAATATGGACGCAAGGTCATGCTAGCTGAAAGCGGGGTTCAAATGGATGACTCAAAGTCCGGATCGACCGTTAAACTCTCATGCGATCCGGAGGACCCGGTCACTGCAAGCGGGCCAAAATGTTGAGCCATGGGCCAGCCTGCTGCATGCCATGGTGCAAAGACTAGGCCCCGCAACATTGGTTACATACAGCCCCAGCTATGCATGCAGAAAAACATGCAGAAAAATCGTCCTTTATCAGTGACATATGGACAAGGGGCAACGTAAGTATCTAATCATGCAAGGATCCGTGTGCAATAGTGCAAAGTGTTCAAGCCACGCAGCCACAGGTATGTACAAGACATCCACGTAACTCGATTGGCAGGTTCAAGGCCATAAGAGATTGAGAATAAGTCATGGAACACATGCAAACAAATCAGAAACACAACGTACGCTCTTACTTCAAGGACACAGATCTTAAACCAGCCTGGTGCCCATTCTTTCAATCAAAGGCACCCCGTACAGAATGTCAAACGAATCCTAAAATACAATCTATAGTAATACGAAAAGACAAGGAAAAAGGACACCTGATGTAACAACGTTTTTGTACAAGTTCGTCCCCCTTTGGCAAACCTTGCTGACTCCGCACCTTCGACCTGCTACACAGGTGACATGGCAATCATGTCACCCTTAGAGCCCCTGGGCCCTCCCTTTCTAGTGGGGCAGGACATGAACCCACTTGCCCCGCTTCTTGCTCCAAGGCTGCAACAGGAACCACTACTTCTTCCCTTGATGAAACAGCACTCTCTGTTTGGGCCTGTGAAGAAGCAGCGTCTGGTGGAGTTGCTTCTGCACTGGACGGCTCTGAAGGAAGTAGCGATGTCCGACACAGGGGACACGTGTGGTTTCTCTTGAACCACTCATCAACGCAGGCTTGATGGAAGTAACTGCAAGAAAGATACAGAGGAGTTCGTTGGAAATCGTCCACTACGAAACTCCAGCAAAGGAACTGTTTGCTCACGACCTCGAACACGGTATCAGACAACGCTCACTTCCCAAGTACTTTTGCTAATACTTGCTATGCAGCTGTGGACACGCAGTCAACTGCAAAAGCCCTGGCACACTTCTAGCTCGAAAGGTGCACACAATATAAGCCTGCCTTCACTCCTAAACGATTCTAAACAATCAGAGGGGGCACGACGGTTGGATAATAACATATTAAGGAAAACCCAAACAAACACCAACCAGAAGGTGACACCAAACTCGGGCAATTCACAGAGGGTGCTACTCACTGACTGCACTCTGGCAGCTTGCGAAGGCTGTCCTTTGCTTCAAACTCGATCAGACAGATGGGGCACCTGCAAAGAACAGATCATCGCTGTGAGCACCTTCCATCTCTCAGGCGGTTTTTGAGGCAGATATCCACCCAGCTTGGAATAACACAGGACTTGACGACGGGCAGCAACCCTTGAAAAAACAAGTGTTGACCGATACACAGGGCTGCACTGCTGGCACAATGGAAAGGGAAGCAAGTCCGCGTGCAAGGATGCAACCCTTGGAGACTTGACCAAAGGAGCTCAACAGCTTTTGACATGCAAAGACATGGTGAAACACTTACTGGTTGTCTCCATTCCCTTGATTGAAGGTCTGGTTCTCGCCTTCCTTCTTAAACGACACGATGGGTAGCCCCTTCAGGATTGAGTAGGGCAGGGCAGCCGAGGGGGCCTCCTGCAAACAGAAGAAAGTTGAGGTCAGCACAGCTTGTCCGGAGCAGGAACTGCGTGCGCTTCGTAAATCCTGAATAGAGTTCTGAAGTTCTTTTGAGGTAAATGCTGGGCCGGCGGGACAAGCGGCTACGCTCAAGCAACGAGCTAAAGCACGAAAGAGGCAGCTATCACGAGCAGATCTACGCAGTGCGTTTGTACTCAACCATGATGGTGAAGATGGCCAAAAAGATTTATTTAACCACTCACAGACATTTCAATTGCCACACCAACTCTCTCCAGAGCCTGATAACAAAGACTCTTCTACCACCAACTCCAACTAAAACCAGTGGAGCATGAGGCTCTTCCCACATAATGCTACCCCGCTCACTTGTCTGGCCGTTGCTTCAAAAAGGAGCGGCTGAGCAAAGCGGTGGCGCACGACGACACGGCACACCGAGAGGAAGACGCACAGCCCCACACAGATGGCAGCGCCCATGACTATGGAGAGGAAGGGGGACACCAACAAGCTCCCCTGATAGTACCCTGGATATGCTGCAAATGTGGAAAGAAGACAAGTTAGGAGAGCGCCCTGACCTGGATTCGAGGAGGGGGATCCCCCAACAGCAGGCGGCGATGTCGCCGCCGGCGGATCATACAGAAGCGCCGTGCGAGCATCACGAGAAAAAGGGCAACGCAGAAGCCTAGGGCGAGTAGGATGCTCAGCAGCGAGTCGCCAAGCATGTTATCTGTGACATACCGGCCGCCTGCACAGAAACCACCCTCGTACAGTGTGAGGGGGCCGTGTGTGCAGAGGGACAGCAGCAAAGTGGAGAATGTGGAAGGCGTGAAAAGCACTAACACGAACCCAAGTGAAACAACATGTCCGCAACTTCCTGGAATACCATCTGCTAAAACCACCATCCACCGATCCTGTTAACCCCCAGGTACTACTCTTCTTCGTTTAATTTATCGGGTCTACGTCCTGCTTCTTAACTATAAACATATGGCAACAGCTGCAAAAAGTGATTGTCATTCAGAACGCCCACACCACACCACTTAGAAGGCACACCAAAACCTGCTGATAATCTTGCAGTCACACAAATCAGAGGATCAAAGAACCAAAAAAAGGCAAAAGGCAAAACAGGAAGCTCCAAGCATAAGCAAGAGGTCCAAGCTCGATGGCATGGCTCATCGCAAATGCACAAGGAAAGGGCAGCGCAGCAGATGGTTTGATCTTCAAAAAAACCAAACTTTGTGATGCTTGCAAGCTCTTAGTGGCGGACACGTCTGACAATATGCAGGGGTTGCAATCTCACCATTTGCAGGTTGCCCCTGCTGAGACAACCCACCTGCAACGGCAAAGTAGTAGCTGGTGAGCTGTCGGTTGCAAACCAGAATGGGCAGCAATATTGACTGAGACAAGGAGACACTGCCGGACATGAGGTGCATGGCAACACACACAAGAAACATCCAAAAGGTGCAAGTTTGGATCATTTAAGCAACGAGCAACAAAAGTAAAACACGAGCCTGGTGGATACGGCCTGACAGCAGTGGTAGGCCAGCCTTGTTGCCATGCAAAAGGTGCCGTCTTGACCATGAAAAGAATGAGCCTTACCGTTCTGTAGGAGGCTCCTTGCGGACACGCCCCTCGCTTGCAGCAAAAGCACTTCGTTAGAAGCTGCCAGCCAAGATTCCTGTGACTCGACTGCTTCGCCTGCTTTTTTCATGCCTTCACATCCCCTCCCCACCAGATTCATTGCCATGTCCTTCAGAAAAGAAAACGTCCTTGACTGAAGCCCAGCCCCGACAATATGCCTTTCCACTGGTACATCTAGCCCGACGTCGTTACCCAGGCCAAAATGACCAGGACCCAACGGGCGTGCTGCAGCTGTCACAAGAAAACCTGCAGAACAGCGCTCCCCATTATAATTATCTGACAACCTACAACATGTACAAACAAAATGCTTGAATGAAAAGATGCGGCAACTCAACCAGGGGCACCCCAGTCTGAGATTCGCGCTTTTCAAGCAAGGTGTACTGCCAGCGCATGAGGCGCACACAATGAAAGACTCTGCGAGCTTCTGCAGCTATTGAACATTATTGCCGGCTTACGCAGCTGCCAGACATTCTTGTCGCTTCTTAGCCACAATGAACGAACCAACCGTTCACTTTTCGGCAATGTTGCCAAGTACCTCACCTGTGAAAAGAAACAGCAAGACCCATGGCCCCCGTAAACACGTCATTGCCCTCACTCTCATTAGAAGGTCTCCCTCTTAAAACGATAAGTCTAGCTCCCCACAATGAATGGTCCCGCACAACTGCAAGAACCTAAAAAGGGGCGGAATCCTAAAAAGCTGACAGCAGCCCCCCTGATTGAGCCGCAACGCCGTCAGCGCCTCGAAAAACGCAGCTACTGCATATGACTGAAAGCGGCATGCGACTATTCAATCCCCTCCAACTATTCTATCCCCGTCTGTACGTCCGGCAATGGAGCTCGCCATGGTCCAGCCTGGTCACAACACAGGTAGGTAGACCGTAGACCAGAAAGAAGAAGTTTCGACATGTTGACCAAGAGCCGGTTTGACTAATGAAAGCGCCCGGGAAAGGGGTAGGGTTGATTTGGGTTGAGGGTGATCCGTGAGCATTGACTACCGGCGCAGACCACGTCAAATCCGGGTTATGTTCCGGTTTTGTCATTGTCCCCGAGCACCGTCCAAATTGTTAAGACTCAAAGCGCTCCAGGATGAATACGAGAAGAACGAAGAAGATGACCACGTACTTTCCCTCCCGTGCGCGGTCGGTTGATTCGTAGGTACCGTCACCGACTCGATCAGAGGTACCAGTATCGGTAATTCCATACCGGCATGGGAATTCAACTTTTATTAATTATTTTGGGGTCACTGTGAAAAAAATAAAACTAAAGGTCACCCCGACTGTGAAACGGTGAAATCAATTTGTTTTAGGAAAAAGGTCATTTTGGGATGTTTTGAGTGTGGAAAAAGCAAAACATTCGCTTGTATGAAATGAAAAATATATACTCAACGCGCCCGGTGAAACCTCAGGATGAACGAAATTAAGTTTTCACACCAAAAGGTGGTGAATTCCCATGCCGGTACGGGTACCGTCAGCACTGAGCAGCGTATCGCAGACTGCTGCGGTCCAGACCTACCACCAACCGGTACATTCAAACAGCTGTCAGCTCGGTTGACGTCACGAAGAGTAAATTTGACATTCGGGAAGCTCCTCACGATGCCACGTGCTCATTTGTGCCTGGTTCGCTGTCGTGGCCAGGCAGCTAGAGGATGGGGGGGCCGGTCATTTCTTGAGTTCAATGTTTTCTAATTTCGATTAACGCCCTAGGCCGCACTAAATGAAAGCTACCTAATCCCTTAGGCTCATGGGCTTACATGGCATATAATGTCTAAATAATATTATATCGAGGTTTGTGCGCCTACTCTAAGTATGAGCGCGCTACGTATGTCAACTAAAAACTAAGTTGATATGGATACATCGAGGCCCCGGTCGGATCAATTGAGCGCGCAGCTTCAAAAGTTCGAATACTGAGAGACGCCCAGTGATCGCTTGAGTACCTATGATGTGTGGATGTACAGACCACTGTCATGCTGTTCAGTGTTCATGATCTAGCGAATGATCGCCATCTAAAATCATATCACGGGCAGTATTGCTACACTTCTTCCGCGGCCGCTGCCATAGGAGGAATTTTGTGTGATAGGACAACTGCTTGGAGTTGTATCATAAAATGATGTTCATGCAATCAGCTAGCTTGGGAAGCTTGACAAATGCAGCTTGAGCGCAAGGTTTTTCGCAAGAGATAAAAGTAGGATGGAATGCATGCTGCAAGGCAGAAGTCTACAAATCATCGGATCGCCCGCCTCACTTTTATCACCTCATTCGATCGAAAATGTTGTGTTAGACCTTTGCTGAAGACAAACTTCGAGAGGATATATTTCATGTTCTTGGCAAGATTCCAAGACCTCTTCTCTTTGTTACGAGGTGTCGGCCGTAAAGCTTGAAGACAGTACATGGGGCAACTGAACAGGACAACCGACTTCCCACGGCGTTATTGAGTCATTATACTCGTCTCTTCACGGGTTTCGTCGAGAAGCCTCTGTTCGTTTGGCGGTAGTTTTGGCAGTGGTCGTACATACTCCGGCACCAGGTCGCTCGTCAGGTCGAACGCCCCGTACTTGATTAGATACGGGCTGTTCTGCCAGTCGCGGTCCCACAGCTCGTACGGCTCCCCGGCCGTCAGCTCTTCCCACGGCTGGTCGGGAGGGTTGGCCGCAATGATGGCTTCTATTTCGTACTTATTCAACTCTTCGCGCTCAAGGAGGGCCTGCGAGGTGGGCAGCGTGGATGTGCAAAACTTCGAAAAACCAGTCACAGTCACAAGACGAGAAGAATTTGACATGCCTCTCAAGACAACCACGGTCTGCTGCGACTATCTCAATTCAGATGCGTGCTGTTCACACGAGAGCTCAAACCACGCTATGCTTCCGTCTGCCACTCTTTAGCGGTCACCAGCTGGCAGCGTGCACCGGGGGGCGCACCTCGGAGGCCTGGTAGAGCGCGCCCTTGTAGCCCTTGAGCACGCGGTAGACCTCGAGGCGCGCCTTGTTGACCATCTCGACGGTGCGCCGGTCGAGGTCGTCCTTGGTCCACTGGCTGCGCGGGTGGTCGTACCCCAGCTGGAAGTCGTTGTACAGCCCGTTCTCGAAGTCGCGCGACGGGCCCACGTACGGATTCTGGTTCTTAAACTGGTTCTGCCGCACAAACGCGCTCGGCTCCGCGCCCACGGGGATGCGGTCCTCCATCGCCCACCTGCGAGCAGGGAAGTGGGTGGCTCACGATGAAGCGAATGTGGAAGAGCGGTGTCGCATCAGGACGACTGGGCATGTGCACAGGCTGTCGAGAAAGGGCTCATGTAGACAGCTCTGGCTCAGCATGCGGATAAACTCTATGCCAGCACCAGTAAGTGAGCCTCGCTGTAATTGCATGGTTTGCCAGCAGTTTATCATCCAAGAGGGGCTCTGCTGAGAAGTTGAAGTCTCAAGTTGGCCTACTAAGGATGCGGGCACTAAGCGCTGCTGATTGCGTGCTTCTAAAGAGCAACGGTATGCCTAGCATTGTGGCAAGACAAGGCACGGAGCGTCAGAAGGCGACTCACTGGACGATGATCTTGCGCGCGAGCGCTGTGGCGTCCATCAGGTCCATGGGCTTATACTCGGTCACGTCGCGCCCATAAAACACCTCCTCCGCAGCGCGGCCTGCCAGGAACAGCTGCAGCAAGATGACAGGAACGAGCGGTCAGTCAGACAGAGAGCGCGGCCTGGATGGCGGACGCCCTCCCTTAAGAAAGCATACGCCCTAGGCCGTGCGATGGTCGCAGCAGTGGTACTTTCAGGCCGTTTGGCAATAATGGATGGACTGAGTCTAAGCGACGCAGGGCCACGAGTAGGGCTCGCAGGGCAACCTGCCGTGCAAAGACAGTGGTTTTGAATGTAGACAAACTCCAGCACAGAGCATTTTGAACTGAGGGGAGCACAAATGTGGCATCCGGCCTCAGGGGCGCACCAGCCTGAACAACGCGCCTCTTGAGCGCTGCATCATTCGAGGAGACTTCTGCCTTTTGCAGTGGGGGTTGGACGGCTCGATCCAAAGTCTGAACAAACTGTTACACGGTGCTCACCCTCATTCGCTGCATCAGCTTCGGCTTCCGCTCATGCGCCTTGTCGGTCACATTCTCGCGCTCCATGATTGTTCGAGAAAGGTCCTGCACGAAAGAAGCTCAGCGCTGAGGGGTCAACTACAAGTAACTCCGCACTTGAGTTTCTGTCGAATGCATAAGCAACCAAGACTCCGTAGAAGCAGCATGCCGCATTGAAGCGGTATTTTGCCAGTCCTGAACTGACAACGGCACAGTCATCTCGTTGAATATATGTCCCCGGCGATCCGTGGTTTCGGCAGAACACATTTCCTATCGAGGAACCTAGGAGTACTCCGGACCCCGCTCTCAACTGACAGAGGAACGATGTAAGACGTGCTTCGCTGGAGAGCAAGCAGTGCGTGTTGCGGCCTCACGTTGCCGCGGTGCTCGAGCGACACGCGGTTGACCTCGTCGATGAGGAGACACTTGTTGGCCTTGAGGATCATGGGGTACATGGCCGTGCCCAGCTCGTGGATGGCGATCTGCCGCTTGTACGGCGCCGCGTTCGGGATCACCCCGCGCTTGATGCCCGCGATCATGCGGTCCAGCGCCTTGTTCATGTCTGCGCAGCAAAGCAACGCGGCGGCCGCGCATCAGGCCACCTTCCCGACCACGTGCCCTCTCCTGTCGATACGGCTAAGAGTTACCTGCTACGAGAGCCGCCGGGACAACAAAAGCTTCGTTCAGCGAGACAGGCCATAGCTTTACCCTTTGTCACACGACCGGGATGTTTCTCAAAATCGAAGGATGCGCAACCCAAGCAAAAAAAAGTTGCTGCCTGTCCCTCAGGACTAGAGGCGAAGCGGAAACCGGGGGCCCTACCGAAGAGCTCGATCTGGGTGCCGTTCCGCCGGACCGCCATGATGGCCGCCTCGTTCAGCAGGTTCGCCAGATCAGCCCCCGAGGCCCCTGCGCATCAGGTGCTAACGTCAGAACAGACAAGGACCGCAGTGTTGCTTCCACAGCAGACCCATGACCAACGTGGGCGCCTAGAACGTGCCAAATTCAGCAAAAAGTTGGTTGATTCCGCAAACGGTGCAGCTAGGTGGACGCCTACAAGTTGCGGGGGGTTTAGTCTCCTCCAGGTTGTTGTAGACGAAAAGTCCTTTTAATAATTGACTTCGTTACTTTCTTTAGCACATCTACTGATAAATTCGCGTTCCATTCCACTTCTGTGGCTAAGCACATTTGCAGCATCCCATTTCCATTTCTATCAGGCATGCGGGCTCACCTGGCAGCGCCCTGGCGTAGAAGTCAATATCGATGTTGTCCCAGTCAAACTTTTTGTACGACGCGTGCATTCGCAGAATTTGCGCCCGGCCATCCGTGTCAGCCGGTCGCACGTTGATCTGCGAGGTGCATGAAGCCGTGTCGATTCAGCAGCAAAACTTTGGGCGACGGACTGACCGAACGGCAAAAGACAGACCCGGATCGTCCAGAGCGTATTAGAGAAGTGCTCTCCTTCTATGCAGGAAGTGATGCATTCAGGTAGAGTGAATCCTCGAAATGACGATGGACCTTGAATTGCCTCTGACCTGCAGATGGAAACACGGCTGGTTTGATCGACCGCTGTCGAGTAATCGCATCAATATCAATTTGATGATGCGGACCTACTGTACACCAAGTCATCTGATGTGAGTTGGGTGCTTTGGCCCGGGCGCCGGGTCAGGTAGAACGAATCTAGCCGGTTGAACAATCATTCTGAGGCTGGACGGCCGCATCGGCCATCTGTCAAGGAAGTAGGTCTAGATAGTAGATTACTGCGACATTCGGGGACCATCTTAACGAAATCCAAGGCTCTGACAGATGATGTCGAATTAGACTGTGTCGTAGTCAGGTCATTTCTTAACGAGATGCCAATATATTGATTCTCCATTCCGCCCGTCTACTCTCTCCTCGTGCTGCCCGCCTCACCTTGCGGTCGAGCCGGCCCGGTCGCATGAGGGCGGAGTCGAGCTTGTCTATTCGATTGGTGGCCCCGATGAAGATGATCCCCTCGGACGCGTCGAAGCCGTCGAGTTGCGTGAGCAGCTGGTTCAGCGTCATCTCGCGCTCCTGCGTCCCCGAGCTGATGCTCCCCTCCACGCCGCCGCCGCCCCGCCCTCCGCGCTGCCGCCTGCACGTCACCGACAAACCCGCATGAGAGCCGGAACGAAGTCGAGAGAGGGGGCTCGCTCACAGGGGCGAACGCTGGGCCAGATGCGGTTGCCGGGAGCCAAGAAACATTTGCCAAACACTTGTCTCAGATCCTTTTCTTTCAAAGCTCTTTTTCCCTTGCATGTCAATTTCTGGGTTTTTCAAACGCCACTGAAGAGAGATTGCTCCTGGCCATCTCAAACCACCCGGTTTGCCTATCTTTACAAGCTCCAATCCGACACCCCTGTCCCTCCCCAGCCGAAACTTGAGGTAACTCCCCGAGGGGAAGCTGACATTAACATCCGACCTGACACCTTGTGTGCTGAGCAGGTCAGGGCTTTCGCTTACGCTGCGCCAAGGCCGTCCAGCTCGTCGATAAAGATGATGGCGGGCGCCTCCGCCTTGGCTCGCAGGAAGAGGTCGCGCACACGCGCGGCACCCACCCCGATATGGGACTCCGAGAACTCGCTCCCGCCCATCGAGTAGAACGGCACGCCCGCCTCGCCGGCCAGGGCCTTGGCGATCAACGTCTGCATAAGAGGAGCAACCCCGTGTTCTGACGGCACACAGCGCGAGCGATTTCACCCTGCAAGTACTGTGTACGACGGACAAACAACTCCGGAGTTTCGGAGAAAGCCCGGAATTTCAGGGATTGTCACGTTACTTCCACGCAAGATTTTCATGACATGCACTGCAGATGGACCATGCAGGCACGAGGGTTGTTGCTCGCTTGCAGGAAGCATTGCAGAGGCAGATAACAGTGGCAAAGTGCGCGACGGGCTCACTTTGCCGGTACCCGGCGGTCCGTACAGCAGGACACCGTGAGGAGGCCGGGCGCCGACGCCATCGAACTGGCCGGGACTCTTGAGGTACTGCACAATCTGGAAGCAGGAAGCACGCAAAACGCTCAGCTTTTCGGCGCCTTCTTAAACTGCGGCTTCGACAAAGCAGAGGGGAGTGGATCAACCCGCGAGCCACTCAAGCAGACTGCTGCTTCGATAAAGTTCGGGAGTAGCATGACGCAGAAAAACAGATGGCGAGACAGGATGACCCTTTGAAGATGGCAGCAGGGATAAACAGCACAGCTCATCAATGTCGCTGTTTCTGGCCCGTCTGTAGCAGCGAGCTGCGTGCGGCGCACCTCCGCCAGCTCGTCCACGATCTCGGAGATGCCCTGCACGTCCTTGAACTTGATGTCCGAGATGGTCTCCTTGCGCGCGTCCTGGCGGGACCGCCCCAGCCGCAGAAAGTACTCGGGACTGCTCTCCAAAGCCTGGGAGAGAGGCGAGAAGCGAGACACTATGGCGTAGCTTCCAAGCAGGACCTTGGCAACTGATTTGCAGAGTTACCCCCTGGGAATATTAAAGTCCTGCTGTGCTGACGGAGCCACTGGAGTTGCAAAACGGTGCCGCTTCAGGATGTTAAACGAATGATATCGACGCACAAAAGCGAACCGCATGGGGACGAGCCAAACGATTGACTGCAGCCAAAAGATTGACTGCAGCACACGACTCTTGCATCCTACTGGGTCTTGAAACGCCAATTGTAAGCGTTCCTGCAAGCCTCCAGAACAGACCTGTCTGCAGGCCTCACCTCCTTTTCCACTTCTGCCCGGTTCTCCCCGACCCTTGCCCGGTAGCACCAAGCCAGGAAGAAGGTCAGAAACGCAATGCTGCCAAACGCCGACAGCAGGCCCTGGATGGGTAGCCAGGTCTCCTCCCAAGCCGTCTTCTTCTCCTGATCCGTGAAGTCCTGAACCACAAGGGAATTGCAAGTGAGCACCTTAACCTGCTCAACCACAAGCTGGCAGCTTTCTACACTCTGCAGAGAAGCCAGAGTCCGCAACAAGCCACGAACTTTCAAAATCCTCTCTCTAAGGTGATGCCACAGGCAAAGAAGGTGGGTGGCACTCACAAACACCTTCTCCTCTCTGACGGTGCACGTGACGTTGCGCTTGCGGATCTGCTGCTCGAAGTTGAAGTCCTTGAGCGCCTGCACGCTGCCCATGAACCAAGGGACGAGGTGGCACGACCTGCACAAGCCACGGGGAAAGGGATGGCACAAACAAAACTGGTGCCTAGCTGGCTCCTTGGCACAGCAGGGAGCTTCCTCAGCCCTCTCACACATCAACAAGATTGTCCATACAAAGGCTACTCTCTGAGAACTGGAGCAATTGGGAAGCAACTCTGGAGTCACAAGCAGCTACTGCCAGGTCACATCCTTGGTGCCTGGAATCAGAAGCAACCCTCAACAACGAGGGCAACAAAGGTTTCCTAAAAGCAACAGATCTCCCTGATCAAAACAGACCTGGAATGCACCATGTAGGGCGAACCACAAGACATCCATCTTTTATTCTTGCGGCACCCAAAGAAAAACAAGGACAGAAGAGCGCCCCCAGAGGCAGGTGCTTCAGCTCACACGTAGGAGCCGTCCTTCATCCTGACCACCTGGTAGTCCGGCTCCTGCTTCTGGAACACAAACTCGGCCACCTTGCCGTCGCGTGCGTCGCGCAGCAGCTGGAAGAGCGTGGGGTGCGGCATGGCCAGCGGGTCCGGCACCTGCTCCTCCGGCAGCGCGGGCCCGAAGCTGGGGTCGCTCATGGCCATGATGTCCACCACCTTGGGGCCCCCCTCCGCGCGGACCAACCCATCCGGCCGCTCAATCTGGCCCTCCTTGCGCGTCAGCTCGCGCATAAACACCTTGTAGTCCGCCTCTGCCTCGCTAACCGCTGCCCGCACCGCTTCCCGAGGCCGCTGCCCTGGCGCTGACGTGGCTGGGGCTCTGCTGAGGTGGCGCTGCGCGGCACCAAAGATGAGAGCGGCGCTGTTTGCCAATGGGGGGCAAGAGTGGCAAGCTCGGGAGGGGGGATGCCGGAGGGAGGGGGCAGCCCAATGATGTGTCGCTGTCCTTGGCTGCTGATGATGGCCTGCGGGGGCGCACGTTTGGTCATGTGAGCTGGCATTCACCAGCATGAGAGCATTCTCGCTGCTCCGCCTAAGCCCAACAAGCTGGGAGTTCGGCATTTGTGAATACAAATGGCAGCCCCTGCACTGGCGCTGTGACCACTGCATTAAGAGCAGCTGCATGAATCACTCCTAGTATGTCCTCTTCCCACAGCAATAAACAGAAAGCTCATCTCACTGCAGACACGAGGAGCTTGACGCACCGCAATGCTGGCCACGACAACCAAAGGCGCTGTTCAGATGTTCGTGCCACCATATATTGCAAAATTCACAGTTCGGCTGGAGGAAGCACAATCCTGACCTGCTCAGGAGCTCACAACAATCAATAGAGAAGTCGACACTTCCGGGCTTCTGCACAACATTGCAGTGTCAGCCTCAAACCTCACCACTGCGCACTGGTCTGCATGCCGCAGTCCCTCGGGGGCATTGTCCCCAGGACCCTGTCCTACAAACGGCTGCCTCCATCGCTTATCAGGTACTACCTAGGCGCGACCACCATGGGCAGCTCATGCGGGCACGCCTGCATCCAGAACGTTGGCCCAACTGCCTCCCAATGTTGGACAATTAAGATTGTTGATTGACCGCTGAAAAGGAGCGCCTCGTCTGTGTGTGTTGCTTTTCCACTTTGACAAGTGCACTAGTTTAAGTGAACTGGGAACAGTATTCGACCAATGACGGAGCTGGGCCGCATCATACCTACTACACAGTGCACACATCAAACACAGCCAGTCAGTACGCACGCTCTTGGACCCGCCAGAAAAAGTTCGGAACCGTCGATCGATGGGGGCAGCCCCCAACTTTGACCCTTTGGATCGTCCGATGGGGTTAGCATTAAATGCTCTCTGGCAACCGCAAATGCGGACCCTAAAGTTTGCTGGCGACGCCCTCAGGTAACTAGAGTGAGGGCGTCGCCGCGTTCCCGAACTTTTGTCTTGACACAGCCTGCCAACTGGGCACAGAAAAGGACGGTGGTGTCAAAGCCCCAGAAGCGTGCGTACTGAATGCAGCCTAGGGTAGCCGCGCCGCCTCTAGTTTTACCGCCCATGGGGACAACCACCCGAGCAAAAGCTGGTCGGATGGCAAAGTGATAACGGCTCATCCCGGCAATCATTCCGCAATGTGCCGGCCAAGACCGGAATAATAGATCCTTGGGGCATGAAGCCTCCTCGTAGGGATTACCTAGAAGATGTAGCTCCAGAGAAACGGCGAAAGCTCTTTCCCGGGTATCTGAAGCCGGTTGTTGGACTGGTTGTTGGGCGTTTGCCTCCAAATTCTGAGGCTGCAGCACGCAACTCATGCAGACCAGGTAGAGCCAGCCTGGTCAATGACAATTTTAACACCATGATTCATGGCGTCCTTCCTTGAATCATTTGCGAGCACTGTGGACGTCTGTGCGGGCGTGCTAGAGCCTGAGCCTGAGGTCCTGTTCTGCCTAGATTTCTCCGTGGAGGCTTGAATTGCTATATTCCGAGGACAAGCAAACTGGCGACTCTGCACGTCCGTTCTTGATTGTGGATTCCATTGGCTATTCCTTTGCCACCTGGATGAGGCCTCAAAAGCAGGGTCCCAGGATTGGGGGCAGCCTCTTCTCAGTCCCGGTGTGCAAGGCATATGGGTAAAGCCACTTGCAGAACCTCATCTTCCATCTTCTTGCTCGCACTTAATCCAGTTGCATCTGGAAGAGGCACAAGAGAAACAGGCCCAATCCCCAATTGAAGGCCCCACTATCTTTTGGTCGGGGAAGAGGAAGCGGGCACATTGATGTTGGTGCCACCCTCTGATGTTTGCCCAGGCCCAAAGGACCCTGCAGTTCTTTAGACTGCGGTAATTTTGAGTTGCACTAAGGAGATGGAAGCCATTGGATTTTTGAAAACAACAGCAACTGAGACTGTATTCTGCTAGCTCAGAACATCAGTTGACAGGCCTGCCACTTTTGGCTTATCTGCAAAAGTTAGCTAATTCCACTTTCTGCTTGAAGTTGCAAGGTTTGCTCTCTTAGCTTACACGAGCCGACGTCGCAGCTGTCAAGATGGAAAGTGTTATTCCCTGCGGTTATGCACCCATCCCAGGAGGGTCGTTTTTCTGGCTGGCCCCCAGTAGAGCTTACACCTCTTGCTTGCAGATGGCTGAATGTGCTGTGAAAGAAATCCAGCGGCTGGTCTGAACACAAGTCAACTTCAGCAGTCCGTCACACTGGGAGGGCGCACTGACGCCAATTGCAAGTGGCGATGCACCTCAGGAGCCGCACAATACCCCGCGTTGGCTTTCCTTAGGCCAGGCACCTCATTGAGATGCCAGGGAACGAGGAGTTACCGGTGTGGGGTGGAGGGGGCAGGGGGCATGGACCCCCCTACGGCAGAGACCGAGGAGAGCGCATTGACAGGGTGGATCGCGGTCGTCGCGACTTTCCGGAACGGCCCCCCGGCTTCGCCAGGAACGTGGCGCCAATTGCCCCCCCCCAGGGCCCTGTTCCTTTGAAGCGGAGGGGCCCCGGGCGGCCTTATGTCTATGGAGAGGCCCGCTATGGCCCCCCCGGAATGCGCGGCGCAGAGGTTGGGCCGGCCCCGTTCTTGGAAGGGGGCCCTCCCCCGCCGGCAGCAAGGAGGCCTGAGCGGGACGCATTCTATGCGGCAGGGTCACCTCCATACGGTCCAGCGGGTGACTTTGCCCGGCGAGAAGCAGGGAGGGATGTCGGGTATGGCCCGGAGGTGCCAGGAGAGGGACCAGGTGCGGCACCTGGCGGCTGGGTGTGGGCTTGTCGGGACAGCTTCTGCGATTGTGAAGCTTCCCCCATGAGCAGTCTGGGGAAATGATGAAGAGCATGCTTTCAACAGTCGATGATACCAGTATTGTGGTGCCTAACTATCAAGCCAGTAGGTCATGTGTGCATGCAGACTGGTGCCCTGTCTGAGGGGCAAGGAAGAACCACCATAGACGAGGGACGACAGGGTCCAAATCTGCGTGCTTATTGGTTCTAATCCGCTTCTCAATGTTGTTTGCAGTGGCACGCGGAGCGTTTTACCGCGAGCGGGGAGATGCGGTTGCGCGGGACCTGGATGGGGGCCCCGGCTGGCAGGGAAGAGAGCCCCCGCCGCCCATGGCATTGCGCGAATTCAGAGAGAGGGAGCGCGTGCGCAGCTTGGACCGGTGAGCGTGCAGACAGGGGCCGGCCTTGCGGGCGCCTGGCAATGGCGGATGTCAGGCTTCTTATGCAGCAGCAGTGTTGATCAGCGCTTCAGTTTCTCCTCGCCATCTGCCTGGGGGTTCCAGTTTTTCAGCAGTTTTCCACTCATTATGCACTTACGCTGGAGCGCAGTACCGCTGCCTTTTTGTCTGAGTTGCCCCAAGAGCACCGCTGACGGGACTCTGCCTGTTCATTTCCAGGGGCTACCGCCGGCCTGGCTTTGCTGCTGCCCCGTATGGCCCCCCGCCGCCGCGCGACAACCGAGTTGACCGTTTTGGTCGGGAGTGGCTCCCAGACACCACAAGACGACCACCCGCTGCCTCTGACGACCTGCCACCTGTTGACTGGAAGAGCTTGGCAGAACTGCCGAGCCCCAGGGAGGGCAGCGGGGGCCGAGACCTACCCCCGCGCGAGGTGGGGGGGCCGGGCCTGGTTGCCAGGGAGGTGGGCCCTGGATTCAGGGAGGGGCTAGGACCACGAGATGGCGGTTTCACCACGCAAGAGGGGCCGTTGACGGCACGGGATGGTTTTGGAACGCGCGATGCAAGTGTGGCGCCCCCTGTTCCGGAGCCGCTGTATGCAAGGAGGGAAGCGGCGGTGGGCTCAAGGGATGGGTTTGGGGGCCGGGATCTGGGTCCTCTCAGCACAAGAGAACCTCCCTTTGGGTTACGGGACGGAGGGGCAGCTCTCAAGGAGGGGCCGTACTTCCCTCGCGAAAGGCCGGGGCCTTCTCCCTGGCGCACGAGCATGGCGTCACCACCAGGGTCCGTGCCGGGAAAAGGGGGTCTGAGGGATAGGGAGGATTTTCCTCCCCGAAGAGAAGGCCCGGGAGAACGAATCGACTTCAACGACCAACCAGGGCCTGCAGAGAGAAGGGGCGATGAGCGGCCGGCGCTGTTCGAGCGGCTGGCAGAGCGCCCTGGAAGGGCCCCTGATAGAACAGACCGTTCCCCGGGAGTGTTCATCAGCCCACCCCCGCATCCAGAATACCCGCCGGACAAGCCAGCGCTAGACAAGGTGTCACCGCGGGGCCTTAGCAGTGCGAAAGGCTCGCCTCGGAGCGAGAACCGGCCTTCGCCGAGGTCGAGCGAGGCTGCGGCATCTCCACGCCGTCCCACCGAGAAGGCGCCTCCGAAAGACAGTAGCCTCGCAGACAGGGCTGCGGGCGCGGCTCCCCCAGTTGCCGCTCCCGTTCTGTCTGTCGCGCCCCTGGTGGCCAGCATCGCTCCGTTCAGCAGCCCTTCCCCCTTGGAGCCGTCCATGTCGGGCCAGAGCTCGGAGGCGCGGGCAGGCGAGCGGCCGCGGCCCCGCCTGGGGTGGGGCCAGGGCCTGGTCGCGTTTGAGCGGGTGAAGCCGAAAGACGAGGAGGAGCAGGTGTCGAGTGCCAGGAGGTCGTCCGGGGCGGATGCCGGCCCCGAGAGTGTGGGCGTCTCGCCGGCCGTCTCGGAGAGCAAGAGCGTGGCGCACACGGCGGAGCCAGAGGGGGGGGTAGTCAACAGTCTGCAGATGCACAAGGACGAAGGCAAGGAGGCGCCGCCAGCTGAAGCGGCAGAGGCAGAGAGCGAGCGTGCCCGAGTAGAGGCCAGCCCAGCCACTCCTGACTCTGGCAAGCTGGTCGACTTGCTGTTGAAGACTGCCGTCTCCGAAGCTCTGGCGCTAGACAGCGAGGCAGGTGCGCCAAAGGCGCAGCCGTCGCAGGCGCCTGTCCCAGATCCGCAGGCCCCGACGATCAAAGCGGAGGCTGTCACCCCCAAGGTCGGCAAGAGCTCCCCCTGGCCGCAGAGTCTGTCGGCCCTCTCCGAGAAAGAGGTGCCACCCAAGACGGAACCGCCCATGACATGGCCGCAGAGCCTGTCTGCGCTGACGGAGAAAGAGGGGCCGGTGAAACCTAGGGAGGCGGCTCCCAAGGAGGGCCCTGTCGTTAGTGTTGACATGGGTCCGGCCACCGTAGAAGCGTCTCCAGCAGTCAAGGCGTCCCCCTGGCCGCAGAGCTTGTCGGCGGCGATGGGGCTGGTCTCAGCGCCGGAGGGCTTGGCGCCAATCAGGACTCCAAGGCTGGAGGAGCAGTCGCCCGCAGGGCAAGTGCACTCAGACGGCAACTCTATTTTTGATTCCTTGCTCCACCGTGCTCAGTCGTCTTGTTAAATGTACACACTGGTATGCACGCCTTTATTAGCAACTTCTGCTAGAGTTGCATTTCACTTGAGACTCCGTGAGCTTGCTCTCAATTTTCATATAAGTGCAGCACACGGCGCTATCGTTCCTCTTCTCACCAATCGCCAACTCGTGCAGTCGAGACGAATCCCGCCTCTTAATTCTTGCCCCTAGGTATTCTGTTTGCTCAATTATCATTTGTCGCTCATGCAGGGCATCCGACGCGGGCGCAGCGAAGCCGGTCAACCCGTCCGACTCCATCCCGACAAGCCCTTTGAGCCCCACCTTCCCGCAGCCCAGCAAAGAGGAGCCGCCCGCCTTCCCCCTCAGCGCGTCCACCCAGCCCATGACCTTCTCGTCTCTAGTTGGCTCCAGCCTCCCGGAGCCCTCGCACCGCAGCCCCTTTGGGGACGCGGCGCGCTTGACGTCGCCGTATCAGGACGGGCCTCGCCGCAGCTACCTGGAGACCCGGCCGTACGGAGCGTCGCCGGGGTTGTTCTCCACGGGGTTCCATCGCAGCGACAGCGGCAGCCTGGGGCTGGGCGGGGCAGCGTGGAAGCCGGAAGACTATCTACGCAGCGATGCGGGCTTCAGGAAGGACGGGGCAGTAGAGGCGGGAGAGGGGTCGTTGGGGCGCACTCCCTCGGAAGCCGTAAACCTGAAGGAGGCAGTGCTGGCCAGCGTGGGGGAGAGGGGGGGTCTGGAGAGTGGCCAGAAGACCCCCCCGCCACAGGCACGGGTTGAGGCGGCTGAGAAAACCGAGGACCAATCTAGCCCCATGCAGGTGGACGGTCCCGTGGTGGCTGAGGGGGTGGCAGAAGGGGAGCGGAAAGTGGAGGAAACAGAAGAGGATGGACCGGCAGCGACCGAGAAGCCTGGGGAGGGGGCAGCCGCCGAAGAGGTCGGGACGGGAGAGCCGAGTAAAGACGTGATCCTGTCGGAGATGGAGCAGGTGGACTCGGAGATTGAGCGGCTGGAGAGGCAGCTGTCGCGGATGGCATCGCTGGAGAAGAGCGGGGCGCTGGCGAGCACCCCGACGGCGCAGGCGTTGGCGGAAGCGACCGGAATAGTGGGCGTGCAGGCAGAGGCAATGAAGGGTTCCCAAGAGGCGGAAGGAGCGACAACTGCGGAAGGGTTGAGCCAAGAGACGGGGATTGAAGGGGTGGCTGGCAGCAAGCAGCTGGGCGGGACTGGGACTGAGAAGGAAGAGGCCCCTACGGAAGAGGAGGGGGCGGAGAAAGGCGGGGAGGCTGCTGCAGAGGAGGGGCCAGGGAAAGGGCGGACGCCCAAGGCGAGTGAGGGCCCTCCAAGCAAGGCGGGGAGCTTAAAGTGGAAGTGGGCAGTGGCCGGCAACGGGGACCTGTCACCCGACACCGGTGCAGGCAAGCAGGAGACCGGGGCTGCAGCGCAAGAAGTTCCTGAAGCCGGGGAGGAAGCCGCAGCCAAGCCAGAGGGAGACGAAAGGGGAACAGAGGGGGCAGCGGCAGAGGTCAAGGAGCCTGCCGCGGCGCTGCAGGCGAAGCGGGACTTCGATCCGCTGGCCATGGGGGGCCCTGACCCGTTCCTCAAATTCGAGCAGATCATTGCGAGCCAGGACGGCCTCGCGCGCTACCTCACCGAGCAGCACCCGCCGCCGCCCAAAGCCGTGCCTAAGTTGGAGCCCAAAGCCGATGAGCTGATCCTGAGCGCGGGCTGCCAGGACCGCGCCGTGTTCGTCCAGGCGCGCATCTGGGCGAACCGCGAGGCGGCGCGGCGCAGCGAGGCCGGGCTGCAGCACCTGCTGCCCGCGGGGTGCCAGCTAGGCGATGGGCCGCTCTACACGTGCCCCGAGGAGGCGCCCTACTGGCAGGTCAACGAGGAGGCGCATGCGCGCATCGAGGAGGTCCTCCGGGCGCGCCTCCAGGAGAAGAAGCGGGACCTCGCCTTTACGGAGCGCGTGCTCGCCCTGAGGTGAGACACGAGGCAGAGACCTGGCGCCATGTGCGCGCTGCTGGGTCGAGTACGTGCAACTGCGTGGTCACCCGGGCGAGTGTTGTGCAACTTTTCATATTGGCTTGTGCCTAGGCTTCAGCGAGCATCTGCTCAGGGGCGGAGACACTATTCAGCCTTTCGGTCGCAGGATGTCAGGTGGGAATGTAAGAGCGCGTGGGTCCCCGTTGTGCAGGCTGGGCAACCTTTGAAATAACTAGAAAGCCCCTCGGCCCCCAGTATGGACCGCATGCTGACGCCTCTCCTTTGCGTCTTTCCCAGGTACCGTTTCCTGCGCGCCCTGTGGCGGCAGGAGCTTGAGGGCGTGCCTGCGCGGCCGGCGCTGGGCAAGGCGCGCGAGACCCCGCGGCTGTCCAAGGACAAGGCCATCCGGCGTATGGAGAGCGGCAGTGACCGCAAAGCCGCCGACGCCAAGGCGCCGCCCAAGTCCTCGCAGCGCTTCCGCCCGGGAGGGAAGCTCGACGCCGAGGAACTGCAGGTGGGCAACGCCTGCAGCTCGAGACTGGCTCGACGATTTTCCGAGTTTGATTCTGTTCTTCTCAGTGCAGGAAGTCTAATAAAGTTCGTAGCGGGATGCAAGAGCGATGACGCTTGAAACGTCGTCAAGGCTCTGTCTGTGCTAGGCTTTTCGTGCTGCTTGCTTGCTTAAACATCCTAGCACTTCCAGTGGGCTGACGGTGTGATGCGTGCAGATCGTGTCGCGGCTGCTGGCGGAGCCGGGCGGCGAGGTGCGCGGGCACCTCAAGATGACGCCCATGATCCTGACGGACGAGGAGCGCGCCGCGCACAAGTTTGTGACGCGCAACGCGCTCGTGCGCGACCCCGTGCAGGAGGCGGCGCTGCACAAGCTGGTCAACCCCTGGACCGACGCCGAGCGCAAGCTCTTCCTCGAAAAGTACACAGTGTGAGCACCACGCTCACCCTCCGCGTCTGAGCCGCTCTGCTTGTTACAATTCGGGGTTTGGGTGCGTAGGATAAGGAGAGTGCAGATCGCCTTGCAATACAGTTAAGACCTTCCATCCTCGGAACCCTGTTTAGGAAGATGGTCGACAGTCCCTAGGAGTCCTCGAAAGGGGTCAGCCAACACGTAACCAGCGGTACTTGTTTTTATTCTCCTTGTACTACATGGCGAACCTTGACTCCTAGTAGATGGCGCTGCTCATGCTGGGACGGAAGTCGTAGAGCCCGCAGCTGCTGCAAACTCGTTTTCTGGCTCTGCTTGAGGCACGCAGAAATCGCATCTGCAATCCTGTTGGCCCCTCCTTGGTTGTTGGAGGCAACGTTAAGATACCCTGTTGCCTCCTGACATGGTGGCGCTGGTTGGTGGTCAGGTACAACAAGAACTTCAAGAAGATTGCGTCCTTCCTGGAGCACAAGAGCACGGCCGACTGCATCCGCTTCTACTACCTGCACCAGAAGAGCGAGGACTTCGACAAGGTGCGCCGCCGGCAGCAGCTCAAGAAGCGGCGCGACTACCGCGGCAACAACTCGTTCATGGGCGTCAACGCGCTGGCCGGCACCACGGGCCGCCGCGACCGCGAGGCTAACGCGGCGCGCGTAGAGGCGCTGCCCGCGCTCACGGCTGTCATGAAGGAGAGCAGCAAGGCCGCGCGCAGGGCCATGGACCGCGGCAAGCCGCCCAGCATGCCCGCCGACGTGGAGAGGGGGAGCCAGAGCAAGGTGAGGGACCAAAAGGATTCCGTTGACGATTCCCTTAGTTCCACTGATTTGACGAAATACATGATTGGCGTGCCCAAGCGTGCAACCATCCGGAGACTTCAGAGCAGTGTGCAAATCAAGTATGCAAACCCTCTTCTTTGCTCCTCCGCAGCGCACTTCTGCTGTGAGCTGGCTTTCGGTCCCTATTCAGTCCTGGTTTGCAAGCCTTGGCTGAGGACTTGTCTGGTAATGACCATTTCCGTTCATTACGCCCTTTCCGTGATGAGTCCCGTCGTTGCTCAATTTTTGCCCTTCTCCGCTGTTCAGGTGGCTGCTGCTGCTGTTTCCGCTGTCGTTCGCGCCGACCGGGGCGGTCTCTTGGACCCCATCTCTGGGGACGCCCCCCCCCGCAAGAAGAAGCGCGACAAGCTCAAGTTCCGGGGGGGACCTCCAAGACCGGAACAGAGCGAAGGGCCAGTGGGCGGGGAGGCCAACGCCGAGCCTGGGCCGGCGAGCGAGGGGGTGATCAAGCGGGTGAGCAGTAAGGGCGCCCGCAGCAACCTGGGGCGCAAGGAGCGGCCGTGGCTGGATACCGGTACCCCCACTGGCGCGGGCAGCGAGGAGCGCGTGCTGGGGCTGGCGTCCCCCGAGGACCCGGCGCTGCAGTGGACGGACCTGGAGCGGCAGACGTTCGTGGCGGCGATCCGCGAGTACGGCAAGGAGTTCGGACAG